ATTGAACGACTCTGTACGCCACGCAATCCGCTCACTGACTGACATTTCATGCGATCGCGCGCCCCCACCCCCGCGCCTTTTTGCAAACGCAGACAGGCAACACTTGGCGCGCACTAGACGACGCATCTCGGAATTCGCGCTCGCGCTCGCGCTCGCTCCTCGTTGCCACCTACCCCGCATCTCACTGCCTTGGATTGTAGCAGCGCAAACAGTCGGAAATGACTACAAACAGCATGCTCAAGGGTATTTGGCCCGGCGGACCCGCCGATCAGGTGAGCGGATGCGGTCTGCAAGAGGATGAGGAGGAGGACATCGACGTGCGTGCGTCTGGCGCACACGCACGCACGTACGGCTGCGACAGGACGAGGGAGGCAAGCGGAATCTCTATTGACGCATACAAGCACCTATGCTGACAACCATCCTCCCACGACGCTTGCCCTTGCTGCACAGATCACACCCAAAGCGTCGTCCAATAAAGCTGAAGAGCGCAACCCGTTCGACGCCCTCACCAGCGGCTCTAGCGCTCCTCCCAACAGCACAATGTCCGCACCAGGTGCGCCTGCTGATCGGCTGTCTCACTCCAGAAACAACAGCGGCGGGCCGGGTCTGGGCGCTGGATTGAATCAGGGCATCCCGTTCAACAGCTTGAACCACGCTGACCCCCTCACACCTGGCATGAGAACACCTGGCGGAGTGACGAGCCATGCCAGCATTCCCACGACGAGCATCAGTACCAGTGGTGAGCGGGCAGAGAGAGAGAGAGAGAGAGCCTGCGCCTCATTTGACACTGAAGCTGGCTACCAAACGCTTGTCCTCTCCCCCGCAGTGCCCGACTTTTCCATGAAGCTGCCGCCAGCCAAGGCGAAGAACGATGCTGCGTCGCACACCACCTCTTCGGGAACGACGCGCAACACTTCTGCGCCTAGAGGCTACCTCACAGTCAAGCTGGTATCCGCACGCAACCTCATAGTCGGCTCGCCCTCCTCCAAACCCTACGCAGTCGTCTCGTTTGAGCAAAACGAATTTATCGGTAGGGAGCCAATCGATGAGTCGGCGGAACCCGAAGCAAAGGGCAAGGCGATTCCCGTTGCCCAAGCGGATCCGAGCGGCTCGAGAGCGAGAGCAAAGACTGTGGTTCCGCAAGACGCAAAGACTGGCGGTGCTGCTGCTGCTACTACTGCCATGGCTGTGGATCAAGGCGGCGCGAGCGCAGCCTGCACCTCTGAGATCGAAGGAAGATTCACGCTGCATCCCGTGTGGAGGCACGAGGTGACTTTTGACGTCACGCATCCAGACAAGACGATCTTTCTGAGCGTGTACGATAGGCAAGCGGAGGAAGAAGGTTTCCTGGGCATGAGGGAGATTCTGCCTCGGTTCGTGCATGGCGCGGCGTCGGACCAGTGGTACGCTCTCAAAGCGCGCGAGGACGCAGATGTTCCAGAAGAGGGGAGAGGAGAGGTCAGGGTGGAGCTCAAGTATGAGAGAATCTCCTCCAAAAAGCGTCTCACTCCGAGCGATTTCGAGTACCTCAAGCTGATCGGCAGGGGCACCTTTGGCAGAGTGTTTCAGGTGCGAAAGAAGGATACGAAGCGCATATACGCCATGAAGGTGCTGTCCAAGAGGGAGATTGCGCTCAAAAAGGAAGTGACGCACACGATGGGCGAGCGACGCATCTTGGAAAAGTCGCTGGATTGCCCCTTTCTCGTGGGTCTCAAGTTCAGCTTCCAGTCAGAGTACGAGCTGTACTTTGTTACGGACTACAAGAGCGGAGGAGAGTTGTTCTGGCATTTGCAGCGCGAAGGTCGATTCACCGAAGAGCGAGCAAGGTTTTACATTGCCGAGCTCGTTCTTGCTCTGGAACATTTGCACAAGTACGACATTGTCTATAGAGATCTCAAGCCTGAGAACATTCTCCTCGACGCTACGGGCCACGTCGCGCTGTGCGACTTTGGACTCTCCAAACCGGACCTGGGAGCGGGTCAATTGACCAACACGTTTTGCGGCACCACCGAGTACCTCGCGCCAGAGGTCCTGCTCGATGAATCGGGCTACTCTAAGCTGGTCGACTTTTGGAGTCTTGGAGTGTGAGTGCTGGAGCGGAGGCTTGCATCAACGCTGGCCGCTGACAGACATGTCATCCCTTGCAGGCTGCTGTTCGAAATGTGCTGCGGGTGGAGTCCCTTTTACGCAGAGGATACGCAGCAAATGTACCGCAATATTTGCTTTGGCAAGATCAAGTTCCCGAGGGGCGCAATTGGCGATGATGGAAAGCAATTCGTCAAAGGGGTGAGTGCCCGCAAGAGAGCATCTCCCAGCTTGCAGCAAGCTTACCCGCCCGCTCGAGCCGTTTGCAGCTGCTCAATCGGAATCCCAAGCATCGTCTGGGAGCTGGCAGGGATGCGGCAGATCTCAGAGCGCACGCCTTTTTCCGCGACATTGACTTTGAAGCGCTATCCAAGAAGCAGCTCACGCCGCCGTTCAAGCCTCTGGTCGAGTCGGACGAGAGCGTGGCCAACTTTGACCCTGAATTTACGGAAACGGACCTGAACGAAGTTGCGGTGATCCCCGGCTTTGAAGGCGATAATGGCGAGGGGCGAGAGGCTCTGGAAAGTGGAGCGATACTGAGCACGAGCGCTCAAGCGAAAAAGGATGCCGGCAAGCAAGCCAACGGCGTTGCGATCAAAAAGACTGGCAATGGGACCGCAGCGGATGGCGAAGAGGATGATGCGCTGTCGAGGAGCGTGCAGGACAAGTTCAGAGGCTTTTCCTACTCTGGCACGTACGATGGAAGCGTGGCTGGTAGCATGGCCAGCAGCTTTGGAGGTCGCAGAGGTAGCGGAGGCTTTGGTCTTGCTGGTGCCAGCCTGGGCATGAGCAAGATGCAAGTAGACGACAAGGACGACGAGAGCATCGTCGACGATGCCGCCAGCAATGGCAGATCGGCTCGAGATGTGCAAATGTCCACCTAGTGGTCGCCTCGTCGACAAGTCTTTTCCTCGCCCCTTTTTTCGTCACACAAACCACAACGGTCTCCGCGTCACCCGTCCCGTCCCGTCCCGACAATGCAGCCCATTCGCAAGCAATGCACACCAGCTCCGAATCAGCCCCTCATGACAAGTTGATACATGCATGCCATCATCGCCCATATACGCCGCCATCACGTCAAGAGATACGGACTCTTCATCTCTTTTCTTTTTCTTTCTTTGTCTCTCTCTCTCTCTCTCTCTCTTTTCCAAACGTCTTGTTGTTTGCTGCGCTTTTCCGTTGCGACCCGCA